TCCCAATCCATACACACATCAATTGTGTAAAGCGCATTTGTACATCGTTTCTCAAAACATTTTCTCTCCATTTAAACCCCCGACATTAGGTCCTGGAAAAAAATGATTTTAAGGTCAGGATTTGTATCAGTTTTTTAACTAAAACTCAAGTGGACATCTCTCCAAATCACTGAAGCTTGGCAAGAAGTTTACAAAAAAGCTGGTCCAAAGAAAACAAGCGTTTCTTTAGACGGATCAGTGTTTTAAAGGTCGGGAGGCCCTCAGAGTTGGACGGGGCGTGAATGAAGAGACTGCGGGCAGAGTCCTGAGAGCAGGGAAGCGAGCCGGCTCCTGACGCTGGGATCTCACGAGCGTGACCTTCTCAGGTTGCAGCCAGCATGTTGGCCTCAGCAGCTGGGGACGGAGGGACACCCAAAGCACTGTGAGGTCACCAGCTCACAGGACCGACCTTTCCATCAGTCTTCTGAAACGCGAGCGAGCGCAGAGCTCGGAGGAAGTCTCACATGGGTGAGACTTGGATTTCCTAATACAACCCAGAGGACAAGGGCCTATGGAAACGGGCTCCGAGAGGACCGGTGGGCCGTTCATTTCCAGGCAGCAGCGAGGTCAGCTCAGAAATGTACGTTGTTTTCAGGGATCTGCTTGAGAGAGTTTTTCAAAGGACATAGGACGAGGATCCCAGGGGCTTATGATGAAGACATTATAAGAAAACCTAAAAGTACACCAGCGGGGGGAAAAAAAGACCAAGAAACGTGCTTTGAGGACCTTTCCCCCGTCATAATGCAGCTGGCTCTTTCCTCAAGCGTCTCACCGGGAAGCCTTACCTCATCTACCCTACAGCCCAGTGTGAGGTATTATTTGAGCATGTATGTATTGTTTGAGGGGCTTTGGAAAGTTCATGGAAATATTCCGTACCTTTCAATTCGGTTTTTCCACGAACTTTCTGCAGCCCCTGTGTATTTATGTAGATACGTGCGCATCATTTCCTAGCTGTGTTAATAAAGCTGAGAAGCGGCGACACCAAACGGTAACTAGGACCTCCAGTGCTCAGATTTTGGCCTCTAAAGCCACTGCCCACCAACGGGGGCCGGAGCACCTCAGAGCAACGACTGATCGATCCCTGGGCTGCGGCAGAATGCACGCAAGACAAACCCAAGAACGTCTTATGCAAGAAGGCCAGGAAGTGCTTCCAGTTGTTAAAAAGAAAACGAGAAAGACCTGTCACCAGGACGTCAACAAAGGAAGAAAAGCAGCTGGAAGGGTTTCCACTGGCCAAGGGTGGACGAGCGCCCCAGGAAAGAAGAGCACTGTGAATTCTCGGCAACGGGACAAGCGTGGTGAGTACTCCATGCTTCGGAAACACCAGTGTCATGAAAGAAAAAGACTACGGGGATGTTCTAGATTAGAGTGGCCAGAGCGACATGACCACTACACGGAGCACCCAATCTTATGTTGGGATATTGCCCTAGAGAGGGGAAAGGTGCTATCAGAGATAGTTATTTGCTTAACTGATACAGCTGCAAGGCAGACAGTCAAATGAACAGCAACAGCAAATGTACAGAAGGTGACAACTAGCTGATAGCAACAGACAAGGGTTATTGTGTGGACATTGAAGCACTTGAAGGTACAGGGGCCATGACGTACGCAAGCTACTCTCACGTGGGTCGGGGGTAAGCGTGTTTGTGTGTGTGTAGAGAGAGAGAATATGCTTAAGTGCACATGATGAAGAAAAGAGGGTAAACTGTTAACAAGAGGGGCATCAGGGCAAAGAACCTAAGAGAGTGTCCTTTGTACTATTTTTACTCTTGCAACTTCTCCATGAGTTTGCAATGATTTCCACACAAAAACACGTCTGAAACAGAAGACAACGGCTGGCTTCTTTCTCTTCTCTTCCCGCCATCCTCCCGGGCCCTGGCGGCTCCCACCCTACCTGCAATGTGCTGGGCTATCTGTGTCTTCTCGTTGTCTTCTAGCGCTTCCCAGCCTTCCAGCTCTGTGAGGGCCTCGATTCTTTTCGTCGTGGCCCGGGCCCGCTCCAGTTTCTCGAACATGCATTTAATGTGGTACCACTCTTTCATGTCGCCACCGGACTCGGAGAAGGGATTGGGCACCACTTTGCCAATTCGGCAAATGCCCTTTACAATCTTTTCCTTGCATTTTTTGCAGCCAGCTGTGCCCCGTTTGGCATAGTCCACACAGAACCGCTGCTCAGCCATCTCCTTGGTGCCACTACAGAGTCCCACATGCGACCCTGGCGAGAAAACAAGGCAGGCGGCACGTGGTCTGAGATGATGTCGCTGCAACAAAGGAACAGGCTTGTTCCTCAGGAGGCGAAGGACGGGGCAGTGCCCACGAAGGAGACCTGCTTCTGAACACCGGCTGGATTGTCTTACGTCAGGCTGCTGGGGTCGCTCTGGGAACAGGCACAGTTCTTTCCGGCGGAGGGCACGGAGGGTTTGTTGGAAGATGGTCTTGAAAGCCAAATTCATATAGCTGCATGAGAGTGAGGGGCCCAGAAATAAGATGAAAAATGAGAAACTAGCAAGGCATCCTGTTTCCTCAAAGTTTAGTTAGTCCTTTCCAACTCAGGCTGCCTAGTCAAACGCTCCCCAGAGTCATAAAGGTATACGATTCTCCACAGGCTGAGGACACGTTCCATCACTGAAATCCACTTCTCTGGAGAGCGCTCCACTAGCTAATGTACAAGAGAAATGTGACTTATTAGGCATAAAAGCTGATGTAGTGTCTCAAGTCAGGAGCATGCCCGATACTCACCGTGGATGTTCATGAGGTTTTTAATGCGGAGGACAAGGCACACGCCACCCTCAGAAAGCCACTGGAGACAGATTTGTGATTTAATCAGAAGCCTTGTTTTGAGAGGCAACGGGCAGAGCCTGCACATCGACTGCCTGGGTTCAAATCCTAGCTGTGTAACTTGGTGGGTATTTTAACTTCAGTTTTTGTTCCTCGGTTTCCAACTTTGTAAAGCATGGGTAGTAGTAGGGCATTATTTGAGGTGTTATCTGGGTACACAGCAGGGGTCAATAACAAGCCCAGCACCTCTAAGCCTTGGCACCCCACAACGTGCCGTTATGACAGTTTACAACTCAGCACCTGGCATCGCGATACTCTGAGGCTCAGGAAGTAAAACAACCAGAGGAACTAAGAAGCCATTCCTTGGGGAAAGCGGGATTACATCGAATGGTATGCCCAACCTTCACAGACGGTCTCTGTTTCCCAAAGCATCTTTGTAATGGTCCTTTTAATAGCATGGGGAAGTGTTTTCAGTTTGCCCCAACTTCGAAGTGCACCTGCCATGGCACTATAAGGAGGAGGAAGTTTCTGCTTACCATAGGGCAACAGTGCAGAAGAAAGTCAGCTCGCTTTGGAAGCAGGGGGTCTTGGGATGTCAAGTCTGACCCCACTAGTTCCCCAGCTGCCCTGGAGCTGACTCGTGTGTGACAGCCCTGCCCTCCAGAATCTTTGAAGGCTGAATTTTTAGAAGTAGGTCTCCACGCTTTTCTTGCTAATTGCCTCTGGGTGGCTTCCAACTGCTCACCTTTCAGTAAGCCAAGAGGCTGGCACCCGTGGGCTCAATACAGGTGTGACGCATTCAAGGTTGGCACACCCAGAGCCTCAAGTCTGATCATCTCCTTTCCAGAGAAATCCCTTCATGGTTTTGACTCTCATTTTCTTTCTCTTTTTTCAAATAAGGAAGAAAATCCTCCTTAACCAGGTGGTTGGGAAAACGAGCACGAGTCCATGGAAGGGCGGCAGGGGGCTTTCAAACTCCCTGAAAAAGTATACAAAACGTGCCGACTTGCAAATGTACTCTTTGGGGTGAGAAGGTCCATCACTTTCATGAGACCCACGGGGCGATCTCTATAATCCGCCCAAGGTGGCCCAGGGTCAGTGTGTGGACGGACGCGTGGCCTGGCGCTCAGAGTGGGCCAGCTCCCTTTGCAGTGCCACGGAGGAATCGACGAAGTCCCCCGCCCCCTCCCGGGGGGGAAAGTCCGAGGGCGGCATCTGCACCCTGCCCCGGGCCGCCAGGCGGCTCAGCCGCTTCGACGGGCGAACCCGTCCGTCCCACCCTCCGAAATGGCCGCGGCGCAGCGCTGCATCCACGGAACCCAAGGAGGACCCTCCGGAGCCCGCACGTGGGCCGGGCCCGGCCGGTGAGCGACCCGGGGCGGGGAGCACGCCCGTGCAGCCGCGGTTCCACACGGACCTGCCCGCTGCGGTCCGGGGTCGCGGCCCGACGGGCCAGG